AACTAAATCCCTGCATGCTTCGGTCGATGGTTGCAAATCGTATCCGAATACAATCCTACCGTCACAGGAGTGGAACTTCGGATCAGAAAGTGGCTCCACTTGTCATTTGCGAACACTAGCGCACCTAGCGGTAGTAGGCATCTTCTGCCTGCAGTTAAGATAGGCAGCATGCTATGATAGTGTGAGTACATATAGGAAGCCCATGTGGAACGTCTCCACAACACATAGCTTGTTGAGCAGAAAAATGAACCACTTTTTGATTCACCGATTTGTTTGCACTTCCCCTTCTGTTCTGTGCTACCGTATTAAACCAACAACCAGCATCGGGTGCCTGCATTGGAATACATTTAACAAAGGAGCTCTTCTATTTTTATTTAATTTGGTTAGTCACGCCATAATAAAAAATTACCATAAACGAACGGTAACCCACATCATTGAAATATTCAACGAAATGGTTTGGATAATACCTTGAACACGTCGTTAAGCAAATTAACCATAACATTTTTATTATGGCGTCTCCATATCAACATTAATCGATGTGGTATGGCTGTTAACATAACCATGTCCATAACCTTAGCATGTTTTTTTCAATTTATTTGAAAACTATTTTATTTTACGATAGACACATATCACAATAGTTTTTTAGGTTTTGTGCAATATTCATTCATTTTAATAGCATATTTACACGAACTAGCACTGTAATTTAACTAATTTCCATAAAAATAATGAAATTTCCAAGGGCTGTCACTATCTGATCACCTTCGGATAGTGCTTATTCCTGTCACCAGGTGCGCATTAGTTTAAGTTGGATTCGCCGATAGAGAACAATTGGTGCAAGTTTGATCAAAGTAGTCGATCGCGTTCAGAAATAACGTCAAATGGAACTAGAGAGAAGAAAAAAATCACCTGGAAAATCCGGAGTGGTTCGGTTCCAAGCTGGATAAAGTGCTGAAGATGCCGAAAACAACAGTTTGTCGAGTGCTCAAAACCTACAAGGAACCCCTGAGTGGGGAAAGGAATCAGCAAACCTACGAAAAAACTGGAACCAGGGATCGTCAGCTGCGCAGCAAGGTGTTGAGGTGCGTTATAGCCAACTCCGGTCTTTTGATCTGAGATGTGGCCAGAAGGTACAACGGAAACTTTCAAACGGTGCGAAACATCCTTGCCAGAGAAGGATACAAGTCGTACAAAACCAGTAAACATCCGAACCGGCACATGAAGCAGAATTCCGTTGCCAAAACGCGTGCAAGGCTCTTGTACGACCGTATTTTGACGACACACACTTTGATCGATGACGAAACATACGTCAAACTCGATTTTAAGCAGTTTCCCGGTCAAAAGCTTTACATTGCGACTGGATGTGCCGGGAAGATTCAAGTTCGTGTTTGCCGACAAGTTCGCGAAGAAGGCCATGATTTGGCATGCGATTTTCAGTTGTGGTCTGAAAACGGAACCATTCGTCATCCTCGACGATGACATCCCAAGTTTACATCGAAGAATGCCTGAAAAAGCGTGTATTGCCGTTCATCCGCAAGCAGTGTTGGGAAAATATCAAATAAATCAAATCTTACCCACGCCCAAGATCACGCTTTATTTTCGTAGACAACAATCAACATGCAAACTACTGCGGTTGATCTTGCAAGCTGTGATATCGCAGCTCGGAATATCAAGCTAACAAAACTCACCAACTGCAAATCTCACCAAACTGTGGTGAGATTGAGTTTAATGATTTTTGCTTTACACCCGAATGCAACCGAAACTTCCATAACGGCTTGCAGCAGTCCCTTTGCGTATGCCATCGGTGAAGATTAACAAGAGATAGCAAACTGTGCTCTCTCTTTCTAGGAAAACGATGTGCAATGGAATCATTTTTGTGTCGAGTCAACTCTCAGCTTGATTTTTGCACGTTGTGAATGGTCTCGCAATATCAAAGGAGCTTGTAAAATCAATATCGAGCATGATATTTTGTTCAATATCATGCGTGATACTGCGAGCGCATGAGAGTGGAAAAATATCAATTGATTTCTGATTTTGCCAACACTGTCCGCAAGCATAGGGGCAAAACCACCCTGATTTGACCAGCTGTAACTACTCCAAGGTGGTTCTGAAGCGGTATGCTGCCAACATGATCGATTTTGTCCCGAAGCTAAAGAATCCTCTGAATTGCCCGGAATTTCGACAAAAGCAAAGCAGCGACTGCGACGAAGTGGCGGGGCAGACAAGGACATCTAGCAGATGCGGGCAAAATGGAAGAAATGCGCTGATTCTGGGTCCATTTCCACTGTGCGGGCGCTGATAGGCTCTATCAAGACGAAGGTTCGAGATTTCGTTCGAACTGGAGAAATGTAACCATCTTATGATTTAACTTTGAAGTTTTAATAAAAGTACTGCTAAGCAACCATTAATGGACATTTTGAAACTTATTGAATCACGAATTACAGGTCTTTTTGTGCGTACCAATTTACTTTTAGTCAGCCTTTAGGCCCTTTTCAAATGTAAACTACTCGGGGTCTTCATTGAATCTGGCTTAAAAATCTGACATTTTCAGGGATCCATCTGAGTTTCGGACCGACCTGGAAATTCTTGTGAAACCACATTGCATCTGCTTTTCAATACTCTTTATATCTTCATCGCACAGTAGACCAAGAGCCTTAGTATTGCAGTCAGCTCTTGAAAGTTAATGCTGTTTTGATGATGCAAAGCTACATCTCCAACTTTTTGCTGCATTCGATGCCAACATATATTCTTGATAGAAATGTTTATAAGTATCAATCACTTTTCAAAAAACCTGGATTATAACAAAAACTTACTGTCCACTTTCCGGCTTGCTTGGAGCTGCAACCTGAGTGTGACTCCGATAATGAGGAAACATTATTCTGAATCTCGATGTTTGATTTGGATTTTGGTATTCAAGACAGTTAAAATCAGCAACAGTGAAATGTAAGTCTTCTTTTGCTGGTCATCACTTTCAAAACAAACGAGGTTAAATATCGAGCTGAAGATTTTAAAATGTCTTAAACGAACCTCGTCTTGTTGTCATGAAATAAATAAGACCTAGTAGAAAAATCTACTAGCAATGAGAGAAAGGTTCGTTCAGAGAGTAAGAGAGTTTCTTAGAGTAACTCTAGAATGCTCTAAATTTGTCATACAGGTATACCTCGCAGTAACGTTACTCGTCACTTTTGACTTCCAACGTCAATATCTCTTATAGCAGTTCAATCATTCAAATCAACAGTACCAATAGTTAGGGAATTGTATGGACAGTTGAAGGAGTTCTTACTTTGCTTGATTGAATGATAGTTTGCAAGATATCAGTGATGGAAGTCAAAAGTAACAGTTATCGTATCGATCAGTAACAGTTATTGTATCGATGTATATCTGCATTCCAATTCTGACTGAATATTATGGTTGGGAATGTTCAATTTCAAGCCTAAAGTATTCTGTTTTGTCGTTAAATATTTTGAGAAATGTTTCCTTCTTTGAATGAAGGACATATTTTCCTCTTGATTAACAAAATGAAAACTCTTTGCTCTCATCCGCTCTCAATATCACGCGGATAAGAATATTACTTTGATTTATCCACGAAAATCTGCTTTACAAATTGAAGTCACCCTTAATCTTTTATGGACCACCCGGGGTCCATTATAGGATTGTTTACACACATTAGAATTAATTTTCTCCATGTTTTAAACAGTATTTGACCAATGTTTTTTTTTCATAAATCCTATGCAGATGAGTTATGAAAGATGTCTTCTGATGGAATTTACCGATGAATGGTTCAATTATCTTAAATGATTTGATGCACAAGGGATCTACTAAGGAGAATGGGTCAATTAAAGGCCAATTTACCCCGCAGTACTCAAATCCAAATTTTTTCCTTTTTTCAAATCCCACCCATTAAGCTCGCACCGTCCAGCTTCCAACGTTCTGCTCGTTACTGCCACGCCACTCTCAGTCACAAATCACATTCTTTCGTTCCTTCTCTCTGCGGCACTATTTTTTTTTTCCGAAAAAACATCACGTTGGTGTCAAGTGAGTGAATTGGACCATTGATGCGGTCAGTGGTGATCGAATCTCGGCCAACCAGCATCCCTCCCTTCCACTTCCTCCATCACCATCGTCCTGAAGAGTCAGTCGACGACGAGAGCGAAACCTTCTCCCCGACCACTCGTAATCTAATCTATTTCAATCATTTGTGAACCGTGATAAAAGATAGACATTTATCAGATTATTCCTCGGAAGGATCCTTGGCCAGAATTCCGTGCGGATAGATAAATTCATGGTGCTCGCTCGTTGAGTGGTGCCTCTAGTAGTGTGTGAGCCGCGTCTGTGCGAGGGAAAATTATTATTACGTTCCGTCAGTGTGCTTGAGCATTGTTTGCCTTGCCGGTTCATTTTTTTGCGTGTTCTACCCACTATTGCAACCAATCAAGTTGCTACTATTGCCTTGGCCAAGTGAACGTGGAATGTGTGCGGGTTGCTGCTGGTGAACCAAGATCGTTACGTGGGCGGGGGAAAATAAGTTTTTCGCCTTTTGATTCGAGCGTGCTGTTTTCCGTTTGGCACGACTCTTCTCGATCGTGATTCGACTCCTTGTTAGCTTCTCTCTGACACAGTGGATTGAAAGTCGTTGGTCGGGGGAAGGAACGAAAAAAAAAAGCGAGTGGAAAAAATGAAATGAAATTATGATAAAATATTTGCCTTAGTGAAAAAGCATCGGACTCTGGAAGAGTAGGGCAACTGAGAAGCGAAAGGACGCTGCGAGTGAGTTTCCAGGAAAATTGTGGGAAAATTGTAATTCTGGTTTTTGTGTGCAGCACCAACAGCTCTGGAAATTTTTATTTACGAAAGGTTGGTGCATTCGCAGGCAACAGGCAAGGGAAAATTTCTGCCTGAAAGAAAGCATTCAACGAGTGAACGAATTTGAATAGGTGCAATCCTATTTTTTTTTCTCCTGGACCGGGTTTTTATTTTTATTTTCGGCGATAAGAAAAAAAACCGTGGAAGGTAACACCCACCATGTTCACCGGCAGTAGTAGAAGTGAAAAAATCTCCAGCTCGATGGTGCTTGTGTCGAGTCTGGTGTTCCTTTCGGTGGTCCTGATGGGATCGGCGGCAGTCGCCGAGGAAACCGAAAATCGGTCACGGAATCACAAAGCCATGCAGTTCGGCCGGAGTGCGATTGAAACGAAAACCGACGCTAATGAGCATTTGCCTCGTGACTACGACGGCCAGGATGATGAGGATAATTATGACGTCGAGGAGGACGACGAAGATGTCGGCGAAAGTGAGCGTCTGACCACGACTGGTGCGTCCTCGTCCGAACAGCACAACGATGTGACAACGCCGAGCAGTGTCAATTATGTTGCAACTACTCCAAAAATAGTGAAATCTTCAGAGGTTTTGAGCAGGTGAGTTGAGCTGTAATTTTGTTCGCAAGCGATGGGAGAGCTGACTTCTCCGATTTTGTAGCTACATAAATAAATATAATTTAGAAAATTTCCATAGCTGAGCTTAGTGTTGCATTCGCCGACCATTCCGAAAATTCTGATGGCTCTTCCCGGAAAGTCCTGGGATTCAGCAAAAATTTTAGTTTACAGTCCAAAAAAGTATTAGGTTGCCATGTTCCACAAGAAAAATAACGAAAAATTATGTCAAAAATCAGTTACTAGTTACAGTTCATACTCACTTTGAAAGTATCCTACACGAAGAGAAAATCAATTATTTTATTCATGTGTTTCACTTATACATTTTTGCCAAAACATCAGCCTTATACATTCCATAAGACAAACCACATAGGTCCTATGAGAATGCATAAAAGGTATGTGTGACCGCTTATACATTTCATGATCTTCATTAACTTTTTGCAAGGCGTCTGCTTATAAGTTGACTTATACATTTTATGAATAATGAGCAATAGAAATTTGCCAAAAGGTATAAGGAGTTTTCTATCCGTGTAAGAATGCGCTTGCAGTGAAGTAACAAATTCCGTAGATTTCTAATTCAAAATTATTTTGCACTCAAGCCAGAAGCCTTTTGGAATTAGTTTCGGAGTTCCTTTGAAGTTTTCCTGGAATTACTTTCAGATTTAATTGTCATTCTCCGTTTAGCATACTCCCGATGTAAACTCTGAAACTTTCCATGGAATTATGCCAAGAATTCTTTTTTTCGCTTAAAAAAAGAAAATCCATTCAGAGTTTACTTGGAGTTCTACTCAGAACTAACTTGGTATTCAGGATTCACATAGAATCTTGAGTTCCTCAGGACTGCATTGAAAGCAAATTGCACTTGATGTTTTCGTCACAATTCTTCCCAGAACTCCCAGAACAATTATCATTCAATTTCATGAGCCTTGGATTTTGATATTTTTTTCAAATTTGTCATCTATAATTATTTTTAAGTACAAAGTTTCTATTTTTTTAAATTTCTAATTTGTGAAAAATATCTTTATTCTAGAGCTTAAAATAGAAAACAATTCTTCTGAAGTTTAAAATTTATTAAGGTACTGAAAATAAATCTGCACAGGATCTTTTAAGTTCAATTAGTGAAAGAAAAAACAAGGAAAATTAAATATTTGCATAATAGAATGAATTACAGTATTAACAAAAAGCTTATAGTAAGAGAATTTCAAAATACCCTGAGTTATGATGAAATTACCTGTCAATTCCTGATTTTTACAGGGAAAATTAAATTTCTGGTTTTCCCGGTTTTCTCAAGTAGTAGCATAGAAATTTTCCATCTTCTTCTTTCTAACATCAGACGGAATAATTGTGTGCGATTTGAGTCCAATATTAATTAACTTAATTTATCCTTTTATTATTTGCTGATTATTCTCTTTTCCAAACCAGCAGATTTTCGTTGCTTGTTAATAAATATTTTTTCGGAATTTGACATAGTGACCATTCGGCCTAATAACAGCTCGGCCTAGTGATCGTTCGGTCTAACGGCCATTCTGCCTAATCACCAATTGGCCTAGTGACCATTCGGCCTACTGATCTTCGGCTTAATAACCCAGCATCCTCCCTGAGCATTCAATATAACCTATTTGATATATCTCATGATAGGTCCTGGCCAGTCTTGTTAACGTTCACGGTATTCAACACATTTTCTGTGATAATCGACTGATTTTGCTGATGAAATTTGCAAACAAGCTATCACATTATGGTACCAATCTAAAATGTCATATTACAGGCTCTGTCATACGACACTGTCGCCGAAGATCGTCGCGAATGTATGTATTTTAGTTTTTCTTATAATTAGAGCTTCTGACAGTGTGCTTGTGTAAATTTCGAAAATAGCAAGCAACGATGTTTTATTAGTAACATTTCTGTTCAGAAATGGTTCAATTAACACCAAATTGAGGAATTAGGACGAAATCGCACATGTCATATGATAGTTATTGGAGTGTTCACTCGGCTGTCGACAGATGCAGACCACTCTCAATGTGTGTCACGCGATCGTCTGTTTACTCGACAGCAGCCATTGGTCCTCCTCATTGTTCTTCATCAGCAGTTCTTTCAGTCGATACGTCGTCGACTTTGGAAAGCAACCGTTTCGTGATGAATGTGTAAGTGCTGACCACGTTTTGCGTCCATTGCTGCAACGGAAGCGCTCTGACCCCCGTTGGCGAATCTGCCATACAAGTAAACCACATAGTAACAAGAATCATCGGCTCTGTAAAGTTAATTCGGTTGAGCCTCATCAAATAAATTAATAAACAAAAAAAAAAAAAAAAAAAAAAAAAAAAAAATTTAAGAGATGAACTAGCCTTAGGCTAAAAATCTCTCTAATAAAGAAAAAAAAAAAAAAAAATAAACAAAAAAAAATATGATAGTTATTTGATAATTTTCTTTTTGGTCGAATGTTGTTGTACCGTTTGTGTTGTGTAAGAAAGGTGACGGTAAAGCATGATAGTACGAATACAAGGGAAGTAAAGCGGTTGGTCTCAAGTTCATGAGTTGATGGGTCGATATGTAGTAGAGTCCAGGTGTGATAGCTGCCTCCCTGGCGTCGGTAGCATTGGTGCTCAGCACGGAAAACAAGATCGACGGAAAACAAATCAAGATTATTATTTTTTAATATTCTAAGTCTCACAACATATAATCTAAATTTGCTTTGTATTTTGACGTAGAACTACGCCTTTGTCGACTATACTGGGGTACAAATCAAAAAAATATGTGTGGTGAAATAGTGTTAGGTTTTGAACGCTTGTAACTTTGTCATTTATAGATAAAATTAAAATCCAAATACGCCAATCGATAGGATATTAGTTTACAAATCTTTTGAAATAAATATTTTTCAAATTTTTAATCAAAAAACTTTTGAAAAATGCGCAAATGATAATTTTGGTCACTGTTTTTCATGAACTAAACGTTTTCCCTAAACACAGTCATCATAAACGAATACCACTTAGTTGCACATCATTCTGTTTGAACCTGAAAATATATAAATCAGCGCTGCTTTCCTGCCTCTGCTCATTACCGCTTCGGACGGCGTGGCACTAGGTTCTGCAGCAAACAGGACCAAGTCAGTGGCTAAAGGTGGATCACGGCGTAACCACCACAATGATGAATGGGGCTTGCAAAAGTAATGTATGCAAAAAATTATCCCCCCCCCCCCTTTACAATGACCCGAAAAAGACATGGACTTTTACGATCACTTTTTTCTGGGAAATAAATTTTAAGCAAACTACAATTACGTAAAAAAAAAAGGTTGAATTCCGTCAATTTTTTTACACGCAGAGCCAACATTTAAAAAAAAAATGCATAAGAGGAGACATACACTCGATGAATTACCAACAACTGACTTAAAATCAGTTAGTTACTAAACGGTGATAAAGAAGTGATACTCAGAATAAGAGCCGTGATTGTTGTACAAATCAAATGGGAATCACTTCACCGTCACGAAAAGTGACGAGTTTTCGCCGTAAAGTGACATCCATAATAAGTCCCCATATATTTTTTGAGTTATCGTTATACACAGGAGAGGGGGGTATTTTACATGTCCAAGTCTCATTCCTCATTGTGTGACAGGTGATCACGCCGTGATCCACCTTTAGCCACTGACTTGGTCCTGCTCGCTGCTGGACCATGCGCCACGCCATCCTATGCGAATTTAACTTTAATTTAACCAAGTTCACTCTAGAGTTGATATTACGTTACATGAGCTATCTTGTTATGACATTTCACCTATAATAGCCATTTAGTGTGATGATTGATATCATTAAGAAATAAATTGTGTATTTGGTACGCAGTTAATGTTGTGAGTGTAACATACATCACTGCTGGTCATTAAAATAGGTGTAGGCAAAATAATTGCGAAATGTTAGGTTATGTTCATTCAACTTAATTTTATTCGACTTTAAAGTGAAGTTACACTATCAAATGTGTAATAAAAGTTAAGTAATTATATGAGAAAACTCAAAGTTAAAACGTCAAACGACTCACTCATTAGAATCATACATAAAATATGCCTGGTCAGTGAAATAGGTGTGTTGCATTAAAGTATATTATAGAATGTTTGAAAATAATTGTATAAGTTTTATTAGACTAATGACGCTTAGTAACCGCTGTGCCCTCAATTGTTAAGCAAAACCTTGTTCAATCTTCTTGGCATTATTTCAACCAAGCACTGAAAAGTTTCCTTTGGTATAGTATACCACTTTTTTTTTTAACTGTGGTCAATAGTTTATCCTTATTTGAATATGCTTGACCAGATAACTTTATTTTAAGCTCTTTTCATAAAGTTTCGATGAGGTGGATGTCAGGAGATTGGCTAGGCCATGAAATAATCGACACTTTGTTTGCACGAAACCATTCCTTTACATACTTAGAAATGTGTTTCGGATCGTTGTCTTGCTGAAAATGCCATCTATGAGGCGTGTTCTCTTCTGCATAAGGGAGCATAACCAACAATCAATACGAAACTAACGATTTTAAATTGGCTCACTACTTGACTAGCCTATTGGTCCCAAGCAAACGATTAACGTACCCCATTCTAGTCGAAATTCTAGTACTACGCAATGTTTGTTTTGATTCGCTATGAAAGTTTGACAGATAAAATGGCTCGTGGATTTTCATATGTTTCGAGAGGTACATCTATTAGCTTGGGATCGAAGATAGTACCAGAGCTGAGCCAAAAAGTTGAGCACGTTATTTCGGGACCTTCTAGTCTTAGAGTTACCTCTATGGCATAACCTCCTCCATGATTTCTTTGTATTCAAATTTGGTCATGGTGGAATTAATGCGGAAAATGGGACCTACTCCATGCCAAGAAAAACAGCTCCAAACCATGATGCTACCACCTCCATGCTTCACGGTCTTTACCGTGTACCGCGGATCTAATTCTTTACCGGATGATCTACGTGAGAATATAGTAAGTGACTATTTTGATTTCATTTGACATTTGGAAG